CCCCCCCCCCTCATTAGGAGGGAAGCATACTGTACAAATTGTGACGTAGCGAGAGTGGACTTTTCCAGGGGTGGGTGGTTCCCTTCTGATGGGTCACAGCTGAAAAGAAGTGTTCATTCATTGCTGCTCAATCCAACATTATATAGGGATATTCCATACTGCATATTTAAAATGCTGCACAAGGAGTTACCTGTAGGTTAGGACTTATATTTAAGAGTTTTCAGCTGCCTATGCGCAGCTTGAATAAGACTGAGTTCAGCTGGCTTTAGATAAAGATTTAATATTTCTCTTTTCCCTCCTTTCTCTAGTTTTGGGAAGCGATCAGCTGGCAGCCTTCGACGTGGATGTGAGTGCATCGTCCTGGAACCATCGGAGATGATTGTGGTGAGTTCTATTTCTCAGACTTTTAGCACACTCGTGTCAAAAGCATTACTTGCATGCACACCAACACACCACCTAGCAAGCACGAATTGGAAGTAGCAATTATGACTTTTTTTCTTTGTAAGAAATGCATAAAAATACATAGAAATTGAGAAAAATAACACACAGCAACAGAGAGAACTGACAAATGATAATTTTGTATACTTAACAAGCTGAAACCACACATCTGGCTTGTAGTTTTTTAAACCTACAAAATAAAATCGCCACAGTTTAGTTACTGCCTGTAAGGTCAGACTTTGGTTTTTTTCTAATCCATCCACCTGTCATTTCTGATGTAATGTAAGTTACTCAAACATCAATACAAAGGGGGTACAAACAGGTGGGGTTTTTCTTTAGTTCACCTTAATGTATAGGATACAAAAAGAAACATTATGGTAATCATTGATTTTGTAATTCTGTCAATCTGTGAAACAGCTGGACTCCATGTCGATCACCAAAAATCTGCAGCAGAGTGTCGCTGATTTAGTTTATTTATTTATTTTTTATTGGACTGTTTTAAGTGCCTTTTATTGACATTTCTCTACAGCTGTCTGTGACAGCTGTATATGCAGTATATTACGTGTGGCTAGCATGTAGTGCTAATTTTCAAAACTGTTGCAAGGCTCCATGATTTGCCATTTTTAAACAAACGAACAAAAAAAGCCACAACCTCAGACCCGTCTTACGTCTTTAACTGGATTGATGCCAGGTCTCTCTTGGAAATTAAATTTAAATCTCAATGAGATTTTTACCTAGATAAATAAAAGATTGATACAAAAACTGAGCATGGTGCCTGTCCTGTGGTTCAATGCGGGGCGTACATGTGTAATAAGGACATGGATATCAGTTATATGCTAGTTGGCCTTATGTTAAAGCAAAGAAAAAAATAGGTAGCATGACTATCTTCAATAGATAAGAACACCAGTGTGCTTTGCTTTCACGAAATTTGGAAATGACTGGTCCACATAATGCAGAGAAACAGAAAGTTTGTGACCTGCTTTAATAATCAAGTAAACACAGTTTTTTTTTTTTTCATTTGTTTTGAAAGAGGAACACGTGGGGGAAAGGAACTGAAACTAGAGAAATAAATCAGAGGGCACATGTAAAACATGGTTAATGCTATCAAGATATTAGTCAAATTGAGTGTTGTGTTGAGGGGTAAGGAACAGTGCAGTGCAGCTAATTTGCCTGCCTGCGGCAATTATAACATAATGTTCATCCACTAAAATGATTGGTTGCTTCATGGCACCGTTTGCCCCACCTTATAATAACACAGAAACACACCCTCAACTGCCATTTCTAGCAGCGCATATCCACCCTATTCTATCATCGCCGTAAAATAAAAAAACATAACACACATAATAACAACCGGTTTGCACTGCTGTAGTCACAGCACTGTTCATTCACTGTAATTGCCTCTTCTCTGTGAGTGTGCTGTGTAGATGGGTGGGTGGAGGGGGCTTGTGATAACTGAGCTTCTATCAGATAAACACACACTCCTTAATAATACCTCCCTCTGTTCTGCTCGCTGCAGACACTTTGTAGCCTTTTGCCTCTTATGCTGCTACAGTTGCTAGCTTGCCCTGTAATTACTGAACAGGGGCTCTTATGCTGCCGAGGAAGTGATGCACGCGGATGAACCTCTCTGCTACATGTTAAGAGTGTACAGAGATATGCAGACGTGCCGTTATAAACATAAGCAAAGCTGCTCACGTGTCTGTGCTGAACACGCGTTCACTCCGAGATTTGCAATTAGACACACAATCACACTTACGCTCTCGCTCGCACACAGCTCCGTTGCCGTTGTCATGGCAGCAGTTGGTAAGGCAGAGAGAGATTTTAGTGGTGTAATCCCAAAGGCTGAGCGCTGTGAAATGTGAAGCCGCAGTGAAAGTAGCGAGCGAGGAGAGGGAAGGGAAGGAATGGGCCAAAAATGTAAAGTCAGATATGTCATTCCATCATGGCACAAAGCCGTGTGGCACCAGAGCACCGTTTAAGTAGTCTAAAACCAAAAAAGCGTCACAAAATTGTACCGCTTGACTATAGCGATGGCTTAGTTAAAGTGGCATACTGTGCCAGTTTCCACATGGAAAATGTTTTTCTTCCTCCCAGTTCATTAAAAATGGAAACATGGATTTTTATCTTTTTTGAACTTGTAATTTCATTGTGGTTAATATGTCTAGCAGAGACGGAGAGAGTTGAGCATCTCTATTTCCAACTCTGCCAGGCTCCATCTCTGTTTATCTCTACCTGTCAATCAGTTTACTCCCCATTGCTTTTCACTCCTTAGCTCACTCCTTCCATCCAGATTCCTCGCTCAGCCCTCTGTTTCTTTCTCACAGTCTCTCCTTTTGTTTTGTGAGCACCCTTTTGACGTAGGTGTGCATCGTACAGCCCACACACGCTTCTATTTTTACGCAATGAGCGGGGCGGTAGGAAGGGAGGTGGGGGATTCGGGAGGGGGCGTGAATGAAGATGAAGACTGTCACTCCCCTCATCTCCGTCTCCCTCCCTTTCTATCATTTCCAGGTGGACTATATGGATGAAAATGAGGAGTACTTTCAGCGACAAGCCTCGCACAGACAGTCCCGTCGGCGCTTTCGGAAGATCAACCAGAAAGGGGAGAGACAAACAATCATCGACACCGTGGATCCGTACCCTACAGGAAAGCCACCCATAGCCCGCGGGTACCACACGGTGAGTTGCATCCTGCGCTACAGTTTTGTTGTTGTTTACCCTCGCTGTGGCAGATCGCTGCGCGCTCCGGAGGCGGTATCAGCGTTGCTCTATCACTGTGTTATGCTCTGTTTGTGTGTCGAGCTCCTTCTTCCAAACCTGTTGTGTTTCTGCTTCGGATACTAGCTGAAAATTAGTGTGTTCACTCTGTTTGGGGCCCTTTGCTGACCCTTGGTTGTAGCTGGGTGTACTGTGATGTCTTATTTCCTGGAGAAGGTTGCTCTTGTCTTCATTGAGTGCACTTCAAGCTTGTTTTTTAGTCTCCCTCTACTCCTTGTAGAGTTTAATTATTTTAACCTTTCTTGGTAAAATAGAATAGAGTGGCTGCAATGTTTTGTGTGATGTTTACAGCTCTTTCTGGCTTTTGTCTGTTCCTTAGTCCTCTCTTGATAAAAGCTTCTGTAGTTTGGTTTTTTTGAGCATCACAGTTTATCTGTGCTGTACCTGTCGTCTTCAGACTGTTTGTTTGTGCTGTCACACATCATATATTTTGTGCACATTGATAACTTATAAAAGGTTTGGTTTCCAGGTAAGATCCACATTTTACATCAATAATTTTAAGTTGTCATGTTTGCTGGTGAATCTAAGCATCATTATAGTTTGTAAAGCATCATGAGCTGTTTTTTACCTTGTTGAAACAAGCTGAACAAAAAACATTGGAGATACTTTACTGAAGAGGGAATTAAATGAGTTTTACATTGGTAAACTAGCAGTTCAAGGCTAACTGCTACAAGCATAAAACACCTGAATCTCAGAGCAAACATTAGCGGTTGAGTCAGTGGCTATGCCTTTGTTACACTCTCACTATGGAAAAGAGTGGCTGGAGACTTTAAAACACAGATGTGATACAATGTTGTTCCCTTTGAAATATTTGCTTGAGAGATGGACACTAGGTCTGCTACTGCTCACAATTGGTGACGGTCCTCAAAGCGACTTTGGTCCATCAAGATACAGATAAGATCCCGTCAGCCTGCTTGTCAGTCTATCAGTTTGTGATTGAAAAGGGTAAAGCTGGCAATTCCAGTCTGTTTATGATAATATGGCAATAAACTGTGTGACAAACTGGTAAAGATCACAAATCTGTTGCTTATTACATAGACTATACAAGCAATAGTACTGGCTGCCTACACAATATAGCCACAGGAGCTGCTTGATCATGGAGACCCACTCCATGAAGCACACTGATGTTAACGCCAGAGAAGGTTTGAAGCTCTGCAGGTTAAGAGGTGTGGTCCAATACTTTTGTTAGGCAGTGTAGCTGGGATAGGTTTCTACCCTTCATCAATCAATTTTGCTTCCTGTGACCTGCATGAAGTTTCAAATGTTACCATTTAGCATTGTACTCACCCTTTAATATTTTTCCACACAATATAAATTTTCCAGCACATTTGGTGTTGCACAGAATGGCTGTTCGTAATAAAAACATTAAGATCGTTTTCTTAGTTATTGCACTGTACAAGGAGAGAAAATGGAAGACTACATGCTAAACAGAAGGGCTTGTTTCAAACTACACATTTTCTTCCATTGCTAATTGCTTGAAGGAGAAATGTTGTTTGCAACGCTGACTTTTTGAAGAAGTCTGATCTAATTACTGTACCATATAGTATTGAATTTACCCATCTGAGGCGATTTGACAGCAGAGGACTAAGTTTGCCCATTGTGTTGCACCATGCCTTCTCCCCTTCATGCTTTCTTTCCCTGGGAATAGGAAGTGAAGCATTTTCACACTAATGATGCAAATACCCAGCATGCAGTTGCTGCACACAGTTTTTCCTGTTCTGCACAATTTCACTGCATTCCCTTCATTCCTGACACTCCCCCGGGCGTTCTGTCAGTGTACCAGTTTTGTTTTTGTTTTTTTTTAACTTGTATTGCTGTGAAACAATCGAGCTCCAAATGGGAAAATGCGGCAAAGTAGTCTTCCTGCCTCCATCCAGCCCCACCCAGTATCCTAAATATAGACGCGCAGTGTTTTTGATTCAAAAGACTGCACTGAACTTTCTCATGGCCCGACGTCTCCTGTCACATACCCAACTCTCCTCACTCTAGTACCGCTCCTGTGGGAAGGATGGACCGGGTGCTATGGCAACCAGCAGTCCCAGATGGGCTGTGCTCGAGTGCACTTAGAAGTACAGTAGGGAAGGGAGCTAAGTTAGCAAGAGTGCAGCATGCTGCCGCCGCTGCTGCTGCTGCTGCTGCTGACAGAGGGGTGGAGGGGTGTGGAGTGACAGAGAAGCTGAATCTGGGCGGATGCTAAGCTGACATAGCAAGCTAATCTCCAGAATTTAGAATGCCAGACACCGCTCAGATTTTCCTCTCTCCTTCCCTGAGGCGCTTTTAAGAGGTGAGAAATGCACTGAGGAAAAACTTGGGATTGAAGACAGGATATCGCTCCAGCAGGCAAGGTTTTTTTTCTTTTTTTCTTTTTCTTCATTCAGCTTAGTCACTGCTATGAAGGCAAATATGGAACCAAGTACGAAAACCTCAGAAGGTAAACTGCTTCTAGGAGAAGAATGAAAACTAATCTGTTGATTGCTGAGCTGATTCTGCTTATACTTGATAAGTTAACTGACTTATTTTTCCGTAGGTTTGTTCATAAATTGTAAAACTGAAGGTAGTCTAATGTGGCTTTAAACTACCTGTTTGTCTCACCACCAGTTCATAAACTAAGTTGTAAAACAGCCAAATCGATTAGTCCTTTACATTTGAACATTGGTTATTAGCCATTTTCACAGTATTTGACTTTGTAAACTCTTATCTTTAGAGCTTTAATGATTTGTCAAACAAGAAATTACCTTAATTGGAATGTTTTGATAACTCATGAGTCGCGTATTCTGTTCTTATGCAATGGTTCCAAACATTGTTAGTCATAGCTTTTCCAGTGTGAAGACGATGATTACGAGCTGCCTATCAGTCTACGCCTTCACAATTCACAAGAATCGCTCCTTGTCTTAAGGTATTGGTCAGATTTTAGTGAAACAAGATTAATACATATCTATATGAATGTTTGAGCCTCTCTGAGTTCTCAGTGGATTTTAATTCTCATTAGTTTGTGCAATACAACCAACCAATAACAACAAAAATTATCACTTTCTTTCTGTTTTTCACACATTACAATTATATGTGAACAGTGATGGATCGTGGGCCAGATGAGCTGCTATGTCGTTGATGTGCTGCATTTGTGGGTTTTTTGTTTGGTTTTTTTTGTTTTTTTGGAAGTACTTGAAAATGTCATCTTGAGAGTTGAGGAATTTTTAGTATTTGATAAAATAGTTTTGGTTCATTGGCAAAAAATTATCAGAAGGAACAAATTTAGAGGTCCGTTCACATTGCCCATTCACTCTCCTCACATCATTTATGTTTTGTAAACTTCATCATTAATCTCTATTTTCGTATTTCAACGTGCATGATGAGATGTTCTGTGCCAATCCCAGCCACTGTCCTTGGTGCTGCATTAGATCCTGAAATAGCTAATACTTTCCCAGTAGGATAAGTATCCTTCGTTATTAGTGGCAGATTGGCTCGTTCCCAGTCTTTACACTGACAAACGAAGGTGTGTTCCCGCTGAAAGCGTCAAATCATCTCATCTATGAAAAATCAGGCATTCCAGCCCATGTTTGTACATTTTTCCCAATGTTGGACAGTGTTCGACAGAATGAAGTGGATTTCATAGTCCTGTTCAAGTCCAGAGGGAAAGGATAACTATGGCAGGAGCAGCCAGTCCTAACATTCAGTTTCTATGAAATCTGGAGAATTTTTTTTAATTATCAACCCATTAAATCTTTGCTGAAGTTTTTTTTTTTTTTTTTTTCTATGATCAAGGAAACACCACATATGCTGCAAAGTGTTAACTGATTCCTGTATTTATGTTACATGAGCCCCTGCATCCTCTTGCTTCAGCCATTTACCTGGTACATTGATTAAATCTGTGAGCGTTTAGTGCTCAGGCCTCAGAATGATGAGTAGGATCTGGCCACAGGTCACACAGCGTCTGCAGACAGAATCTGTGTGAGCTTCTCTGACCCCTCTACAACAACCTGGACATTCCACTGTAAGTTGCTCCTCAGAGTGCCGGCTTCATAGCTAAAATATAAAAGTAATGCTAACCCTGTAGTGGAACTCCCAGTGGGAGAGCTGACACTTCCATGCAGACCCCACTCTCCCCCACAGTCTGAAGTAGAGCTATCATCTGTATGAAGAGAAGATTATTTGATTTTCTGAGTTCAAAGAAAGTACAAATCCTTGATCAAGTAGATTTAGATAGTTTCAGAACACTTTAAATTAATGGCTTCATTTGGACCTGTTTGGACCCCATTTATCATTTGGATGACTTATTTGGGATTGACATTCCGTGGAAGATATGCAACTGCTCCTTTAAATGATCTCATTAACTGGTTTGTTTGCTACACTTTATGCAATTCCATACAGCGTGCCTTGGAATTAAATGGAAATACAAAGATGTACAGCATGCATTTAAAATAAAAAACAGAATTGTTTAATTTACTGTTGGGGAAGTGAACTTGTATGTCTTGTTTCAGAGAGCACAGATGACTAGAGCTGCTGTTTTAGTCTGAGCAAAGAATAAGTGTTAGACTAAAAGGGGTCAGTTTAAAATGAATCACTTAAATAGATGAATCATCAGAATAAGTGCCATCTTTTTTCTCATCTGCATATATTTGCGACGCAGAAGCTGTTAAATGCTAGACATATTAATTGGGAAATATGTGCATGTAGGACTGGTCATATCTATAAGTTGATGTAAAGCAGCCCATATGATATTAATCTTGTGTTTTTGTGGCCAGATTTCACACATAAATCTGGCTCTGGCACAGGAAGATCTTAATTTGAAATCTGCCTGCACAGCTTTATTTGGCTCTATTATTTTTACAACCTGGAAAATTGTTTCTACTAATAATTGATGGTGTAGGTGGAAAATACGCCACACTATTACAGAGCTTGTACAGTTGTACTTGTTTTAATCTTAACAAGACAACAGTTTAAAAAAGTGGCAACGTGAAAGCGAAATGTTTGCTTGGTTGAACTGCCAGCATCATGCACAGTTTTGTTTGTTATCGTCCGCTGATGCCATAGAAGACGGTAGTCAGCAACAGACAATGAACGATGGAAGTCGTGATTAGTCGAGGCACTGTGTATTCTGCAGGTATAAATATCTGTTATGAACATATTTCTTGTGTAGTCTGAGTCTGACATGAGAAGTTGTCGACGATATTTTTATGAGCACTACACCAAACACCTTTGGAGTTCTAAAACCAAATTTCGACCTTGCATTGCTTCAATGCAGACGCCGTGTGTCGGCTGGCGTTAGTAATTCATCTTCCTGCAGGTAGAGAAACGGACTGCCCTTTGCAGTATTTCTATGGTGAAAGTTGGCAGTTTGGGCTTCCTTTCTAAGTACTGTTCTGATTTACTGTCAGACTTAGTTACCACACTTTTTTCTTCTGCAGGGTACCTTTAAAAGCTTTTGATTAAAGGTATGATGTAAGGCTACATATCAAAACGGAGTCATGCTCTCATTCCTGTAGTTTGGTACGGGAAATTTAAAGTTCTATGCAGTCAGTGTTCTCATCTGAAAAGCTACTCTGAAAATTCAAGTTTCCATCATTAGACACTCTGCAGACAGTTCTGTTATTTAAATCGATGG